AACCACTTGGATCAAGCTCAAATTTAATAAGAACATTTAAGAGAGACAAATGCACAATCTGAATGGTGGAGATCTAGTTTTAAGCCCTAGAAAGTGAGATATAATGCTTACAACAATGTTAATTTCCGATAAAATCTGAACTTGGTTTCTTCTCTTTTCTTTCCGTATCATCTATTGATGTGCTTTGCCAAGGGTGTGTAACCTTTGATGTTTATGGCTGATTATTCCTCTAGTTTAATCTGGAGAGGACTTCTTGTATTGCCCATTATTGTTGATGATGGAAGTTATTGTGGACTCCGGTTTTGCGATTTTTCCCTTCTCAAATTAAGAAGGTTTTCCATGTAAAATTTATGTATTCCTTATATGATTGATATTTTATTTTTTAGATTATTAGTTACTTATTTTGGCTTGGGTATTTGGTTGTAGCATGTGTTTGATTGTTTACAAGGGAAAAGAGATTTCACTATGTTATTTGTGTTTCTTTGCTCAACAAAGGTGGTATCCACCATAAAAAGGTTATGTTGGTGGTTTAGGTGCTCATCTTTAAGCTAGCTGTAAGTATCTTTTTGTCTTGCAATATGTTTCTTATGAATCCACTTATAGCCACCTTGGTTGAAATCGGATCTTCTTCTCTTTTGCCGATAACATCTAGCATGTACAAGAAAAGAATATTCACAACTACTCTATTATTAATCGGGACTGCGTTAATCTGGAATCTCATTCATGTTTTCCTTTATATATAAAGGTTTTAGATGAACTAGAACCTTTTTATTTTGGTTTTTTTAAGTAAGATTTTCATTGTCTCTCACTTTTCAATCTCCACCTTTTCTTCTTAATAGGTCGAATCGGTCTTCAAGTAGTACGTTTAGAGACAATCCAAGTTACAACCTTCTTCTCCTATTTCTTCATCATTTAATGACCAACTTATTGCTAGTTTGGTCAATAGTGAAGTTTTATCTTTTCTCTTTATCCTTCTAGACTAATCTTTTCTTTGTAACGCCCTATCTTTGAAAGGTAGTATCTATCCCGCATTGTAACCTTCTTTGAGTAGTTCTAGCAATCACTTTGATCCTTTGTTAGGCCCACTTCTTATCTCTCTTGTTTGGTAATATGGTTTTGGCAATAATCCATCCTTCTTCCTCATTAGAGGGGCCTTCATAACTAGTCTTATAAGAGATTATAAACCCTTGCAACACTTGGGGAAGATACTATCATTCCGAAGAAGACAATATCTTTTTTCGAAATCTACTATTGTTTCCATATGATGTCTCCATATGTCTTCCGCTTTTTCTACTAAGATTTATTCCTCAAGAGGTCAATTCATTTAATATAATTGGCTCACACTCCTTGCATATTGCTTTTCTTAATGCTTTGAGATTATTGAAGAGCGTTGTTGCTTGCTCTTTTACGTATTTTGAGATTGTTGAAGAGCATTACTACTTTTGGAGCCTTCTTTAATTATCTTCCCTCCGGGTAATTCTTTTATGATCACTAGTTTTGGATTTTTAATCTTTGTTACCATTGATTCACAAAAATCCATGAGATCAATAACTTTCATCTCATCTTTGTTATGTACCAGTTAATCTTTGATAACATTACCTCTAACAAATATCATAAAAGCGAGCAAGTTTCTATGGTGTGGCTATTTATCTATACCACTTACATATATACTATGTTATTTGTGATCTATCTACTTGTGCAAACTTTAAAAATTGAGTAGTGCTATGTGACATTAGTAGTGTAAAAAAAAAAAGTCACCATAATTTTATAAGGATAGTGTTTTCTTGGAGAAATATAGAGAAGGGTACTTTATTTCAATGTCTATTATGTTATTTAACATTTTTACTTTTTAAATTTACCCCTAAACCCTTTCTATTTTTAAAAATAATGTCTATGATCATGTTTTCACCAAGCATTTTTCAAATTGATTTTGTTTGTAACAAATGGTCGAAGTACTTATTAATAGTAATAATATTGAATGCTGCAGCCTGCAAACCATTATTGAAAGCATTATCATTGATTTGAAAAGGGATCTTTTTTGGCGCCCATTATGTCATTACCTTCTAGGAATTTTATATTTTTTTTGCTTCAATCATATCTTGAATCACGTTCCTAAAAACTATACAGTGTTTAGTCGCATGACCAAGAGCACCATGCCATTTGTAATATGCCTTGCCTTTTTGTTCTCTCTTTTTCAGTACTCTGTCTCTATGTTTTTCCAACTCTTTTTTCCCACTAACCCAGCAAAGTTTTAGTCAGCTTGATTAATATCGAAACCATAAAGTCTTTCCTCATTATACCACAATGATTTTCTTAAGGCTTTTGCATTCTTTTTTATGAGGGTGTCAAAAACAAATGGTGTTCCTTGGGTGAATTCAACCATGTCTATTTTTCATGGAATTGGTTATTGATAATAAGTTCTATAAATGACGGTTTTTTTTCTTTTTTTAGCTGGCTTTCATACCTAACTGCTCTAACTACTAATTCATACACATCTTTGAATTACATCCCTTCAAATTTCTTTCTAAGTTCTAATTCCAACCCTTGTTAGGCTATTGCAACGAATTTTTGGACCTAACTTCATTGGATCTATCTAAGTATTCTTTGATAGAATCACCAATGTGCTGTCTATATTTAACTAGGTCTAACAAACCTATCTCAACCTCGGTCTTTGAAAAATAGACTTTTAAAGTGGCTTGCATTTCTCTCCATGTATGGATAGAATTAATAAGCAGATTAATATACCATGAAAAGGTTTCCCTCTTAGATAATTAGAAAACAGTCTAAGTTTCAAGAAATTACAATCTACAGCCTCTTTGCATTGATAGATAAACCTTACAATATGTTTTATCGTAGTCATTGAGTCTTGTCCACTGAATAAAGTTAAATTTAGAAATATGAAAGTGGAAGGATAAGGTTATTCTCTGTCAAAATATTGGTAACAATAAGTTGTCCTATGAATCTGTTGAATTCTTGGGGGAAAAAAGCTTGTTTTACAACCTTTAGAATAAATTATAGATTAGGTTACAAAGGTTGTGTGGGTTAACAATCTAACCCTTGCTCATTGGTCGGTACCCTCCATCCCTCTATGTGATTTTCCCCCAAGGTCTCTCATTTGTATGTCTACGATTATGATTTCTAATCTCTGTAAGATCATGGACATCTACAAAAGGTTTCCTAAAAATGCAGTTGGTCGCTCCTATCATTAGGGTTTTTTGCACGAGAGGTTTAGATTTAAAAAGTGAATTGTCTCTCTCACCAAAGCCAATTATATCTTTATATGAATCAGTATATGTTTTTTTAGGTAGAACTATTTTAGAAGGCCTTGCTTGACCAACTCTTTTGGAAAGTTTTTCATCCATTTGATTCTCAATTTCTATGGCTACTTGCTTGAAAATTTTATGCACGGTTTTAGATATTATGTGAGTAAAGTCAACAATCCTATTTATACCCTTCTTAATTCTATGTTCCAAATAGGTGTTCACTTCCACCGGGGTTTTGGTTTAGTCCCATATGCTACGTTCTTCTGTACTTTACCATGTACCTCTATAACCTCTATAATGCTCCATATTTTGCATTACCTCGCGTCTTTTTATTGCTATCTTGGTTGTCGTTCTGATGCTGTTGACTGACCTCCTAGTTAGTAGGACCGTTATTCTTTAAATGTGTTCAACAATAACTTAATCTTGTAAAGATTCTTTATTCATTGATCTCCTTAAAACTGTTGCATTCTTCATTCTTTCTTCTGAGCTTTCCAATCAAGTGTTGAACTTCTAACCAATTGGGTTCAATTTGGGTACTAGGACCTTTGGTCAAAAAATTAGAACGAATTTGGATATTGGGTCTCAATTGGACATGAACCTATCCATTTTTATTTTTTTAAAAAATTGATGGGCTGTCTAGTCCAACGCGAATTTGAATATAACACACACCTCTTAAAAATTAAGGTTCGTAACAGGTCATTGCTTAACTAACAGCAAATCGCCTAGATACGCGCCGAGCCGTTCTCTTAGTTGATAAACTGATTTGAAGTTGTTACCCCAAGCGATGCGAAAAACCTGCTTAATATGGATAAACCTCTGCTCAGATTGAAGAAATGTTATAAAATCTTCTGAATAACCCAAAAAGCCCTCTGCTCTATCGTGCCACGCACATGGTTCAGGACCAGAGAGAGTCCTGCATCCAGTAACCTTAGATGGTCTACAGTAACAGAACCTGCAACTCTTAATAGCTGCCCTGGCCATCAGGGAAGACAATTATACTGTGGAGGAGAATTGGACTAAAAAATTTTCTTAATGCCAAATTCAGTGACTTGCAATCTTGTGATTTGACCATCCCTTTCCTTTCGCCTTTCTCAATATCCTTGTCGGTGCAATTTAATTTTCATGACATAACTTGGCAAGCAAGTCGCTATATAGAATACTGCAAAGATCGAACCTCTATTTTGACGAGGTTTGGTGTTGAGACTGACTTGTGTTTCCTTCTTGACCAAGTGCTGCGACCGATTTGCCATGCTGTTGAAGAAAACCTTTTCGTCCACAGAATATTGCGTGGGGCAGAAAGTACTGGAATGGCCTTAGAAAAATTGAGAGATTAGACCGTCAGAGAAATGAAAGGGCATACTACATCAATGTCAAATAGGCTCTGGGGAAACTGGAAGGAACTTTCGTGGGCCAAGACTTGCCACCATCTAAATTGGGAGCAACATCAAATTAACACATTTTTACAACAAATCTCAAAACCATATCTAACATCGGTACGTTATGAATGTACGCAATTGCTTTCAAGTACTTTAGTGAAGAAAGCAGAGACCAAAGATCGCTAAAAAGTAAAATTGTTGGGAATGAAAAATTTGAAGCTCCTGTCATTAGTACAATAACAACATTTACATCATTGGCTTCTTCCAGCGAAGCCAACATTTGTAGAAATGATCTGAACAGGAGTGATAACAAACATACACAGCAATCCATAATTTTAACACCATAATTATAGCAAGTAAATTACTCACATGCCAGTTTCGTGCCAAAGCTTGTAAGGCATATGGCAAATGCTTGAAAAGCTGAGAGTGGCTGCCTATAATCCATGGTGAATGTATCATCGCCTACCTTCCCAAACTGGAGGAGGACAGTCTCCTCATCTCCTTTCCCTCCTGGCTGGCTTTGGTCCATGGTTGCAACCAGTTGAAAGTTCTTCACTGATGCTACTGTTACCCGACCATGGAAATTCAAGCACCAACATTGCAAATGCTCATGCCACCTTGGGGCTTTGTTCCGCAAAACTGTACAACCAGAAGAAGCAGACTCAAATAGTTTCATCTTTGAGTTGTCAAGATTTTTGTCAATGGTAGTTTCTTGAGACACTGGGCACTTGAGTGAGCAAACCATCCTCCTTGGACCTCTTGATTTCAAAAGGTTAAATTTATAAGAGACCTGCCCAATCTCAAAATTGCCTGCCGGAACTTGAGGGCTTATTTGCTTACTTGCAAATCGGCGACTAGCTCTGCTACTTGAAGGCTTTGCACCACTGTGTGGTGGCTGGCTGTCATAGATTGTAAAGTTGGTACCAAGGAAGTCCGAACTGCAATATTTAGAGGAGCAATGGAATTATTTTCATGACTTATTATATTGTCACTAGCCGTCCCAAAGCCCCCAACTTTCTACATATTTATAAAACAATAAACTAGGTATTGTTCCAAATAAGATCCATATTACTTCTACAATGAAATGCCATATATTATGAATCAAAGACTAAATGAGCTTCATAGTTAGAAACAAAACCTGCATTCTAGATCATCTCAACACTGGTATTTATGAGAATACAAAGCATGGCCACGAGAACAAAAAATACCACAATTAAAACAAGTAAAAAATAAAGTGCTACTTAGATTCTTCCCAACTGTGTGTAAATGATTCCTAAACTCCCAGGCACAAATTGCTGGGTAGGAGGTAACTATATCAACTAAGATCATTATTATGGAAACGACCAACCAGGATTTGTATTCATACAAAAAATACCCTACCTTAACTTTCCAACATAAGCATTACTTCCTTGGGATAAGTCATCAGCATCAAGCGAGATGATATACTCTGTGTGAGCACCATGCCTATACCTCCGTGCTGCTAGAAGAAACTTCCCCTTGTCCGTAAATGCTAGCAAGAACAACAAAGGAGAATCTCAGATCAGCCTGAGCTGAATTGTTTACATTATGCTAGTCAAATGAGGAGACCAATAATCTAGTGATGAAAAACCAAAATCTAGCAATGGAAAAATAGAAAGCAAAACTAGAACATAATTTGCAACTCAAATTTTTACATCAGTGCAGACTGCATACCAAGTCAAGCCATTCATTTTAAACTTTGTTGTTCGATATTGCCTACTTGCGCCTCAAATTTTCTCCCTTTCCAAACATGGCAAGCAACATCCTTCAAATGATTTTTTTCCATAATTACCAAAATCGAGAACAATAATGTGTGTCACATGTGTAAGAGAAAAATTTGAAACCACTACCATAAAAGAAATTTAAACACAATTCTAATCTAATTTTCTCCCACCAAAGATTTTCTTAATTTGCTTTCCATATAAGCTTGAAAAACCAGTACCTGACAGTAAACATGTACTTTTTTTTCAAATTAATATTTTACCTGAGCACCAAATCTTTGTGATGCAAGTACCAGAATTTTTCCAATAGAGCAACAACTAAAATGCTAATATAAAACTCATAGTTTTTGGTTGATATAATATCTACGCATGTCTTTGCACGCAACAGTTTCTGCTATGGCAGTGTCTGTCATACTGACCCTTAAAAGTACACAACTCGCCCAGCTTGCTACTTCCCATCACATGATGATCAACACACGAAGGACTAATTCATGTCAAACATCCTAAGTATAAAACTTGAATTAATAGAGCAAAAACATGCATAATTTGTTTATTTGACAATACATTGGACATCAGATTTACACGTGCAATGAAATCTTCATCCCAGAGCCATTTACGAGTAGATTTTAAAAGAACATATGATTCTAACACCAATAAAATTTAAATGTTTGCAGAAGAAATGTTGAATCCAAGTTTCCAGGAACAATTACAGATTTATGCCGAACCATTGACAATCATGAGGCACCTCTTATAACCATAAACAATTGAAGAAACCAAAAACATTTTCCCCACTCATAGTACACCAATACAACACCAAATTCAAAATCTTTTTACTTTTTCTTTTATTATTTATTTATTCTTTTTCAATTTAATTTAACATTATGTGCCAGTCAATATATACCCGAGACACCTAAATCAGACAAGTTTCTTTTATTGACAAGAAAAGATAATATCAATAAGGAATGAGTCAAGTTGATTTGAATAAGTATAGGGCCACCACTCAATTATATCTACATATTGTAAGTCAATCAACAGGTTAACAAAATGAATCATATCTCTTTCACTTTGCTACTAGCAAGTCACATGTCAACAATTTACTCAGACAAACTAATTAGCTGCAAAGAAGAATAGAGAAAAATCCTCTATGTATCTTCATAATTTGCAAAAACATGGCTACCAATAACTACTTACATGGAGTAAGGGCAAGATATAGGTAAAATGTTGAAGTCTTCTTGTTCCGTTTTATAAGACACTGATGGGCCATGTCACGTGGACCCGGCTGCATTTACAATGAAGGAAAAGGAACAATCAATTCCAAAGCTCCAAACATATTTGACCAAAAATTGCACCAAGCCACACAACACGGATCAGGAAGCTGAATAGAGAATCCACAAGTGACTAGATTACCAGAAATACATCTTGCACATTGATGAAAAAATAGAAAGAAAATTATAGCATAAAAAAAAAAAAGCAACATAATTAAGATAGGGCTTCAATTATCCTGCAGGAATCTTCTCATCAAAACCAAGCCACATTTCAGCTTACCTAGTTATACGAATAGATCTTTACTCTAAATTCACAAGTTGGAAAACCATGTCTTGTCTAATACCATATCTACTCTAACAAGGATGATTATCACGTGTTAACATTAAAAAAGAATATCGCCAGATCTTAGGCAAAAGAATGATCCCATCAACATACAAAAACACCATTCCCAGATACAGACACAACCAAACTGGGATCAGGGAAGAAGTACTTGAGGACATTGTCCTCCAGCATTTTCTAAACAAGTAACTGTTTTCAATTTCCGATATTCAAATCCATAAGCAGGTCGTAATTGCACTAATCAATAGCCCCCTTAACACCTCAAAATTCTCTAAAAATGGATGAATATTCTAAAAGTCTATAGATGCAATTCCTCAAACATAAAAGACTATCAAGGTACCGCGAAATCAAAGAAATTGGAAAATCAATTTAAATTTAAAAACAACTCCATTCTCCCTCATTTTTTGATTCCAAATTCTTGGGTTTTTCATTTTCCACAAAAAAGAATTAATGCAGAACATAAAAGAAAATTAATTCATAGCATGAACGGCATTAAAAGAAGAATTAAGGCAAATTACCTAGTAAAATTAAAACAAGTTCACAAAATCTTAATCCTTAGATCCCAATAACTTCAATCAATAAAATGACACGCTCCAATTATCCATTACAAATCAAATCACAATGACAGAATATTCCCCCCAAAAAAATATAAATTCAATCAAAACCTAAGATTCAAAAAAAAAAAAAAAAAAAACTAACCTGTTTAAGGCAAGAAGGGAAAGTAATTTTGCCAGAACTTCCATTATTGTTATCATTATTAGGAAGAGACTTGACGATGTCCTTGGTAACTTCTCTCCATTTCTTACAAACACAAGCACAAGCGACGACGTTTTGTCTCTGAGGCCACCGATCCTCACTCTCTTCAACTCGTTTTATTATTTCTCCTAACAACTCAGGTAACATACTCCCCCACCCATCCGACACAGCAGATAACTCACCTGACTCACCTACGAGCCGCCCCGGTTCTACTCCATTTCGTTCGTTTCTGTTCTGGTTATTGAACGATTTCGAGAACCTTCTCGATAAAATTGATCTTCTCAGCGACATTCGAAGGCAGAGAGAGAGAGAGAGAGAGAGAGAGAAGATACAAACTGTTTTCTTTTTTTTTTTTTTTCTTTTTTGCTATGAGCGTTTTTGTCTTGGGAAAAAAAAATTGAAAATAAACTGACGTGGATGTATGATATTTATTTAGACAGACGAATGAGAAATCTTGACTTTGAACAGGTGGCATGACGTTATTGGGTGAAGGGAGACAGGGACGTGAGGCTAGCGTAATTGGAAGGTGAGAAAGTCAAGAAATGGTGCTGGAGGTAGGAATTTTTTGACTGGGTCTGAAAATTGAACAGAAAGAAATAATAAAAGCGGAGAAACGGTGTGTTTTACGGTGTTGGTGTTTGCGTTAGCACTACTACTTAATTTGTTGGTCTAAATAGCGAGATCCTGATTAGACTGGAATAAAAAACGAAGGTATATCCTCTCTATCTATTACCATAAGTTTGCCTCGTGATGAATTGGCTGAATCTGTGCTGTGATGTCCAAAACTGTCCTCTCAATTTTTCCTAAAAATTCCGAACCAAGACAAACTTGGATTTGATTTTAAATTTTATTGGTTTGAATTCGTAACTTTTCTACTTCAAAGAAATTAAAATTTATAAGAAACCGAAGGATTCCAAGCTAAAAATGCGTCCAATGAGTTATGCTACGTATAAAGAATCTTTTGACATCAGCACAAAACCGATAAAATACAAATGGTACGGTTGTAATATTAAATAATCTTCTTATTTTTTTCATTTCTATTTTGGACTTCGTGTTGGAATATAGACAAACTATCGGGTTAGTATTATTTTTACATATATTTTTTTGTATCATTTTTACTTTTAAATTATATTGATTTTTCAATTAAAAAATTCTGTTTGAATCATTTAATAATTAAAAAAAAAGTTGTGTTTCTATAAAATGGCATCGTTTTTATATATATAAAAAAATCTTAAAAAAGAGATAGAAATCTTTAGACAAATTTAAGTTAGCCATTGGGTCAATTAGACAAATTTAAGTTAGCCAAGAATTGATTGAATAAATTCAAAAAACACATGAGTTAATTGATTAAATAAAAAAAAATGGATAAAAATAAATAATTGACACAAACACAAAGACGAATTTAAGAATTCTGTCAATGAAATAAGTTCAGCCAAATAATCAACTTTAAGTTCAGCCAAATAATTAACTTTAATTTCATAAGGTTGTCAGTAAATTTAAAAAGTAAAAAAAAAAAAAAAAATCTTATTGCTTCTCTTTTGTGTTGTGAACTTTTTCTAGATATATTATTTGATGTTTTTATTAAGTAATGAGTTAGAAATAAAAAAAAGATAGGGACTCAAGTAGAACCCAATTTAACAACCATTGGCCCTTTTATTTATCATTTAATTTAATTTAAAAATAACATCCAATTTTTTTTTTCTTCAAAACAAGTAAATCGAATCAATTTTGGAGACAAAATTGTTGAAATGAGTAGTGTTTGTAGGAGCAATGTATGCTATTAGGGTTTGATTGATGATATTTCATGGTTGAGCATAAAAGTAACTTTAATGCCATTGATTATTCCACAACACGCGAGATTGAAAATTAGTGGACTCTAATTGGTGAATCTCATAATCTTCAATGATACCAAAATTATTCCTCTTTGAGTTGGTATATAAAATCTTTTCTAACTTAAGAGCGTGTTCTACTCTCTAACCAATGAGTACAACATCAACAAAGTTAGTTGAGGAACTACCGATCAAATACTTAAAGTACGAAGCTTCGAAGGTATTGATGAACATAGGAATCAACTTTTTTTTATCACGATTGGATATATTTGGGTTGCGCCATCTTTATGCATACTATTTGAGACTTTGACAATCTCCTTGGAATTCTTCTTCATAATCTGCAAAGTAGTTCTATTAGGAGGCACCTTACTATTGAACTTGTATCGACGAATGAATGCATCTACCAAATGCTTTTATTTTTGAATCTTAACTCTATCAAGATGGATGTACCAATTATGGTCGGCACCACTTAGGCTTTTGTGAAAGAAATGGATCAATAGCTTCCATTATATATAACTTATACCATTTTACTATAGTATATCCGAAGATGGATTTTTGGACACTAAGTACCGGTGTAATTAGTGAATTTAGGCAACTCGAACTTTTTGGGGATTGCCACATCCGACATTAAACACATTTCGAGTTGCTTTTATAGAGTCATACTCATCGGCACCTTTTATAGCCCTTAATCATTCCTTAAAAGCGGATAACTTGTCAATGCTTGGTTCCTTTACCATCTTAACTTTGTGGGTTTTCTCAATAATAAGATCAATAGTGGGTGTACCTTGTATTTGTGGTGCTTGTAGGCCCGTAGTGTAAGGAAAATATCCCACAAGAAATGATGCTTCATGAGGGAACGTGGTCGCCCCAAGGTTGAAAGGTAGGGCAATAAATGGTCCTAGATGTGTATGCACGTTAGGCGATGGGATGGGTTATGGCATTTCCTCATGGGTTTGACCTTGGGTTGAGATGCCATCTTCACTAGGTATTGATTGTAGTGACATTTCAAATGGATTGGCGAGATGAGAGATTTCTCCTTTCATAGCTCTAGATCACTCTAAGTGGGCTTTTTCCAACTCGTGCCCTCTTTTTGTTCTCCATCCTATATCATTAGAGTTGAGTGTAACGTATTCAAGGAGAGAGAGAGAAAAGAGAGAGTTAAGTTTTGGAAACAACCTATATTTTGACTCGTTATGAACTCAAAATAAATATATATAATAAATATAAGATGTCACTACCCGACATTTAAGGGCCTTTCAAAAAATTATATTAAAATTGTATACTATTTTGGTTTATTTACTAGAGATGTGAGTAGTTATTGATTTTGAAATAGACACCTAGTATTAAAGGAATTAAAAGCCTAAAAAAGGCATCGGTTCAAAGATTGTAAGGTAAGAAGTTGGTTATGCTTTTGAAAAGATATCAATTACCTAAAGGCGCTCTTTTTGAGAAAAGATACCATATTTGGTTTAATCATAAAATTTTATCTCTAAAAATTTTTTTTTCTCCAAATTATTTCTTAAGTCAAAATTCCAAGTCTATTATTTCCTAAGCCAATTGATTTTTATTTTTGTTTCATCATATAGAACCATTTGTTGGACTCCGTTGTTGAAAGCCTCATCAATTCAACATCGGATCCAATGACATAATTAGTATGTCAAAGAACATCCTAATTATTAAGGTGATAGGTTTTAATTCAAATATAACATCAATCTCTATCGGATAAGAGACTTGTTATAATTAACATACTAATTTTCTATGTATTTTTTTATTCTTTTCATTTTTTTATGTCTCTCTTTTTTTCTATTATTCTTTTATCTTTTTTTTTATATATTTTCAAAGTCTATGTGGAGTTTTTATCATTTCTTAAAAATTAGGAGACTCGACAATACGTACATCTATTAATTATCCGATTTGACAATTAGTTATTCAAGTCGTATTTAATATAAAAATAAATTTTGAAAATTAAATTAACATTCCCTACACATTTATAAGAGTCTAAAATCTAATCATAATTTCAAATTTTAATTAATAATGAATATTAAACTAGACATTAAATGTAATTATTGAAAGAAATAAAATTTCAAACATTAAACTAAATTAATTGAAATAAATGAATAAAAAATTCCAAAAAAAAGAAAAAAAGAATCTAGACTAGGCAAGAAAATGAAAACCATGCATGAAAATTTTAGATTTTATTTACCTAGGATAATAAATAAAAAAAGAAAAGAAAAGTGAGAAAACATGTGGTCATTCGGCTTTTAAACCATCGGACCAAGCCCACTAGGTGGGCTTGTTGGGTAAGCTCTACTGGGCTAGACCTTTTTTTCATCTCGGGGTAGGCTAAGCCCAACCTATCTCTTTTTTCCTTTTTTGTTTTTGGTTAGGCTGAGCTCAACTCAAGTCTTTTCTTTCTTCCTTCCAACCTAGGCTAGACCCGAGCTTAATTCTATTTCTCTTTTGGCCTTCTCTTTCGTTATTTTTTTTCTTCTCCTTTTCCTTTTTTTTTCCTTTTCTTTTATTTCTTTTTTTTACTTGCTCCTTCTTGGTCTGAATGCTCTTGCTTAACACTTTTCCCTTCTTCTTCTCCTCACCCAAATGATTCCTAACAAGGAATCATCTCATCCGAGCTAACAATCGAACCAACCATCCCTAACAATCTTGGAAAGGTTGAACGAGTAAAGGCTAACCTACCATTTTCCTCGTCCAAAATTTTAATTTTAAAGCAAAAAAACAAAGGATATAAAATGAATGTAATGAATAATGGAGGAGAGTAGGATAACTCTGAACAAAGTTAAAGGAGTGAAAACAAATGTTAGGACATTTATGTTGTTCCTATTGGTGTTTTGGTAGCAATTGAAGAACAATGATAGAAACTAGGTGTATGGTTACCTTGTGACTTGGGAATGATTTTAAACAAAGCCCAAAACAAATATTGGTTAGAATAGGTGTTGTGAACCCATAAAAAAGGATGGAAATTTGCCTAAAAACTTCAAGTTTTCCTCCTTTTTTTAAAAAAAAAACCTACAAAGTTAAACCCATAATTGATTTTTAATTCCTAAAATCCTCTCTATCTTTATCTACGTGTGTCCTCAAAGCTTGGAATGGGGCTTAATTTATAACCGAAACCCAATCATCCTCCATTATAGGTTCGCTACAAATCAATGAGGAACCTTGTACTCCAAAATAAAAAAAACATGCTCCCGGTATTTTTGGCTTATTATACATGGAGCAAAAATTGAAAGAAAATATACAGTGTGTGTAGGTTTGTGAATTATAGTAATAATTGTAAGTGGTGTAGTAATTGAAGCACGATCACCTGGTCGATACAAGTGCCAACCAAGAATTGCAAAACTAGACATTGAAGGATTTATCTTCAAGGAATACAATGAGTAGTATTGTAAGTTGAATTTGGGTTGCAACGAATGATAAGTTGCTTGATGAATTTGATCTTGTTGTTCA